CCCCCCCCCCCCAATAGATCTGGGGTAATTTATTTTCACTTTCCGGAGAATTGCTCCATTGTGATAATGCATCCAAAACATGCAGGGTGGGTATTGCTGGTGACCCTAATCTACCTAAAGGGCCACTGGGTACTTCGGGCCAACCGTCTCCCAAATATTTCAGGGACAAACTGACCATATAAAACTTGTGGGGATGAAAGAACTGGAGTACCCATCACCGTGAAGATGGGCCGTGCATCATACCTTGAGCTTCTGTTGCTGGGTCCGAATGGTCTTCTCCTGCTGGGTTATCTGTTTGTTCAGCTCCTGAACCTGTAATATGACAAGGTTGGGTCACGTCATACATAGCCTGTGAGCAGGCCACAGCCACACTGACATAACAGGGCCTTCGTTTCAGGATAGGGAAGTCTATTCATGCCAGGGGAGGTTATAACAGAATCTGTAAGCGCCAACACTGGGGGAAGCAATGCAGGATGGCTGTTCTCCCAGTCAGAGGAGACGCAGGCAGCGCGTTCTCCCAGTCAGAGGAGACGCAGGCAGCGCGTTCTCCCAGTCAGAGGAGACGCAGGCAGCGCGTTCTCCCAGTCAGAGGAGACGCAGGCAGCGCGTTCTCCCAGTCAGAGGAGACGCAGGTAGCGCGTTCTCCCAGTCAGAGGAGACGCAGGTAGCGCGTTCTCCCAGTCAGAGGAGACGCAGGTAGCGCATTTTCCCAGTCAGAGGAGACGCAGGATGGCGATCTTTCCAGTTAGAGAAGGTGCAACATTGGCCATCGTCCCGACAAAAAGACACACAATGGCCATCCTACCAGTTAGAGGAGACACAAGATGGACTTTGTTTCTCCCAGTTAGAGGAGATGCGAGATGGACAGTATCTCAGAGGAGGGGAAGGATCCCAATTCTCCCAGTTAGAGGGGATGCAGAACGGCCATTCTCCCAGCTAGGGTCGGGGTAGGACGGCCATTGTTCCAGTTACAGGAGATCCTGGCATGAGTAAACCTCCCTCTCTCAGATAAACCATGCAGCACAAAGGGTCAGAGTCGTAGCAAAGCAGGAATTAGGTTCATGCGCTGAGATTGGATTCATCATAAAATCAGAGGTTATTAGGAATCAGGATAAAAAAAAACACCCAGCACACCACTAACTCATGTGCTCACCTCCCGGACAC